CCTCTCGCCTTCCCACGGTGAGGGCCTCGGAACACCCTTAAAAAGACACCTGTACGCCCACATCCCTTCGAACATGTGACGGTACTGCAATTAAAAGGTGATTAAGAGCGCCCTTCATATGTTGCACGTAATTACGGATTAGCATGCAATATGGCTGTGACCCGAGACCACGCCACGGTGGTGTGTGATGTGGTGGGTAAATATCCTTGTTTCTTGAGCTTTGTATTTCCCGTTTTTATTGCTTTTTTTCGGTATTTTCGATATTCTGATTTTTTGTTATAATGTGATTCGTTGTTTTGTTTCTTATAATGATATGGTAATTTACATATGTCGTCTTTTGTCGAGAGGGAAAGGAGGGAGACGATCAAGAGCAAAATTAACGCGTGGAAAAAAGAGAGAGAGAGGAAAGGGAGAGAAAGAGAAGGAATAGGAGAATAGGAAGAAGGAGAGTAGTTCAAGAAGGAGAGAAGGGTAAGAAGGAAAAAAGAAGTCGAAGGAGTAGGAGAGAAAAAGAAGAAGGGAAAGAGAAGGAGAGAAGAAGAAGGAAAGAAAGAAAAGGAAAAGAAGAAGAAGAAGAAGAAGTTCAAAAGAAGCTCCCCCCCGCCAAAAAATATATATATAAATAAAAAAATAAATCAAAGAAAATTGAAAAACGGAAATGTTGAAACAATGATTCGTATTACGACCCAAAACCACCGAGAAAATCCCATGAACGCGCTTTCCACAACAACAAGACGATTAGCTTACGTTATTTGGGGGTTTTAAAGTTAACAGTCGTGTAATTGACCGGGGGGGGTGTAAGGGGTGGAGTCGGTGTGTAGTGGAGGGGGTAATAGGGGGTGGGGGAGGGGGGTGTTGTAGGGGTGAATATTAGGTTTGTTGTTTTTTTTGTTTGTTTGTTTTTTTTAATTTGTAACAAGGAAAATGCAGGAAAAGAATACGATTTTTTTTTTCTCTTTTTTATTTAAAGGGAATTGTCTTTTTTCACAAATACACATAAATAAAAAAGAATAACTGAATAAATAACTAAACAGAAATAAACCTTTACAAAAAAAAGAAAAAAAATCAGAAAACCATCAGCGCCATCTGGACGCCAACAGTGCAAACTCGGGGCTGGGCAGTGACGTCACCCATGCCCCGCAGACCCGACACATAAGGCATTGGGAAGCGGAAGTGAACTGGTCCTCATAATCCCGTCTGTTTTGCATGAGGAAGGAGGACGAATGTTGAATGTTGAGTTGAGAGAGTTGGGGAGTTTTGAGGGGTTGTGTTTCTTATTAAGGTTGGGCGAACCCCTTTCTTCTCCCCCCACCCCCCCACCCCCCTCCCCCACACGCAATTTCTCTTTGAACTCCATTATTATTATTGTTGGTGTCATTGTTATTGTCACTGCTATTATTATTATTATTATTGTTATTATTATTATTATTATCGGTTATCTTCACCATATCCTTCACAAATAATACTGTTAATGACCAAAGGGTTACAACTTCTTTTGGGTTTACAAATGGCCTGTCACTTCCTTTCCCTCCCCCCCCCCTTCCCAGCGTCGATAATGAGCTGAGGTTTTGGCATGGCATTGTCTGCGTGTGTGCGTGTCTGTCTCTTTCTTCTCTTCTCTCCTCTTCTCTTCTCTTCTCTTCTCTTCTCTTCCCTTCTCTCTCTCTCTTTCTCTCTTTTTCTTTTTCTCTTTCTCTCTCTTTCTCTTTCTCTCTTTCTTTTTCTTTCTTTCTCTTTTTCTTTTTTTTTCTCTTTCTCTTTTTCTTTCTCTTTTTTTCTTTCTCTCTCTCTCTCTCTCTCTCTCTCTCTCTCTCTCTCTCTCTCTCTCTCTCTCTCTCTCTCTCTCTCTCTCTCTCTCTCTCTCTCTCTCTCCCTCCCTCCCTCCCTCCCTCCCTCCCTCCCTCCCTCCCTCCCCTCTCTCGCTCTCTCTCTCTCTCTCTCTCTCTCTCTCTCTCTCTCTCTCTCTCTCTCTCTCTCTCTCTCTCTCTCTCTCTCTCTCTCTTCTCCTCAATTCTCTTTCTCTCTCTTTCCTTCACCCTCTCCCTCCCTTCTTGACTCTATCTCTCCCTCTCTCCACACTCATATATTTTCAGCCTCGCACTCACTCCCCTTCAGAGTATGAAAGTGAAAATGCAAACTATTATACTTTTTAATGTAAGTAATTGCCATCAGCATAATCTAAATCATAATGCTGGCGAAAGGGTCGTCAGGAATGTCACTTCATTACGGTGAGAATTTTATAGTGCTCTGTGATGCAGCGAATGTATGTGGCGGGTTCATTTTGTTGCTGTTGTTGTTATGCTTTGTTATGGGTGTTGCAAAATTATATCTTCGTCACTGCTACTACACCTATCATCGTCATCTTCATCATCATCATCATCATCTTATTCTTAGTCTTATTTTTTTTTTCTTTTTCTTTTTCTTTTCTTCTTCTTTTTCTTCTTCTTTTTCTTCTTCCTCCTCCTCTTCATCTTCCTCCTCCTCCTCCTCATCATCATCA